TTTTGTTTTGTTTTTTTTTTTTGGCTATTTGCAGCGGAAAACGGTGGAATTTTTGCTTGATGGAAAGATTCTTTTGTGTATATCAAGTATGTCAGTTCTGTAACTGAGAGTTTCCAGACCGTTGGTGAGGACGCCCAGAAGTTGTATCCTCTGTCAGATTCTTCTGATTTTGTTCCCCCTACAAAAGCTGCTGGTGACGTTTCATTGGATGGAAGGAAACTTGTTGAATTTTTGTATAAAGCCACGATAAGGTTGCCTCCGGTAAGAGTTTTAATTTTTTTTTAACGAGTTGGTTGCCAACCATTTAGGTGTAAGAATGTTACGGCATTTATTATGGAAACAAACCTTTACTTTGCAATTTATAATGAATGAAACTGCTGTTTGGCTTAGGGAGTCACGAGAGATGGCATACAGCTACGCATAGGGCACTTTGATCAAGCTGTTGTGGGCAATGCTCTCTCTGACCCTTGCATCAAGAAACTTAATTTTGTTGTAGATGGTAAGTCATGCTCTTCCGATACAGACTAAAAATTTCTTCCTGACATTTATTAACTTGTTTTTATTTTTGTTTTACTTCAGCTCTGGACCGTGAAAATTATGAGGAAGCAGCACAGTTTTTCGATCAGTTTCAACTATCATTTCCTGAAGAATCTCGGACAAGTTGGGCCCAAGGTATTAGACTACTGTTACAGGAATCTCTGCGTTGTTTTCGTTGGTCTAGTCCGTTGCATACTCGGCACTAAAGGAGCTTTTGTTATAGTGCTTCGTAATGAAAGGCTTCTTGTCTGTTGCAATAAGTTCTGTTCAAGTTTACTTTGCTTTTGTATTGCAGTCTTCAACTTGGATCACATTTTGACTGGAAATAGTAGACTTGTTTTTCTGGTTGCTTTTTTGGATTTAATTAATTACTTGAAGTTTACATATAGGAGTGAATTTTAAAACTTTTTGGTTTTACCTATTGTATCGTTGCATATGTGTTATCACGTCTTGAGAACCAAAAAAGTTAATTTTTTTTTATTTGAGTGAGGTGTTATAATTGCTGTTATATTCAAAAGATGTTATAGCGGTTGTAAGATATTCATTTTTAGATGTGGTTGTGAAACTTTTATGATTGTTTGTATCTTTTTTTTAAATTAATTATTACTGTTTACGTACTGCAATCTTGATGTTTGGTTCAAATTTTTCAAATATAGATATTGTGAGGTTAACTATTGTCTGTAAATGTGACTCGTTTGTTGTGCGTTTTCATTTTTGTGATATGGCGTTAATGCGTCAATAATTACCAACACTCACATTTGATAAAGTTAAAGAGGAAGAAGTAAAGTTTATTGTCAAGATATTTGCAAGTATTTTCAATTTATCAGTTTTAGTGACCCACAACTTTTCAAAGATTGTGATGCTACTTTATTTAACTTTAAAATTTTAATTGAGTGTTGTAAGGCTTTTGAGTTTCATTCAGTAGGTTTTTCGCTTGGTAAGTCTTTAACAGTTAAGAATTTTTGAAGATTTCGATGTTGTAGCCTGTTGTTTGTGGATGGTTTAAATTTTTGTTATTGGCTGTGACACGGTTTCCTTTTCGCACATTGTTTTTTGTAATGTCCGAGTGGTGAGTTAAAGACAAAGGTAATCCAAGCAAAAAAAATATATTTCTGAAGAGATTTTTCAAGCGGTTAGATGGTTCAGTTGAGCATTTTTTTTAAGGTCCCTTGCAGATGGACTTGCTTCAGGGCTGAAGATTGTTGGTGTTCAATTACAGTTTGGCTTAATACAGGAATGCGCTTGGGAGTCGCATTATGGCGTAATTTAAATCTCAGAGAGTGGAACAGAAAAGTGTGGGAAATTGGTTATCGTGGACCTCCGTTACCAAAATTGAAGCAGTAATTTTTTTTTCACAAAAGTATTTCTTTTGGTTCGCGTAGAAAAAGTCATTTTTGGTTGTCAAGTGGTCCTGATATTTAAGGTCTTGGAATTGAAAGAGTTTGAATTATTTAGAGCTTTATTTTTACAAGGACTTCAACTGTCAAAAGTTCTCTACAATTTTTTTGCTTAATAGGACTGGTAGGCCACCTGGCGTCGTTACCGATGACGCTATCAGACTGTTACAGGAGAGATTCCAACGAGAATATGAAGTAATGAGGTGTCTTGCAACTCCATATTTGACCAAGGTAAGGGTGTTATTTTGGATAACAGATGAAGTGTTTATAAATGTGTGAGGTTTAAGGAACGCGAAGCTCCTTATCTGGCGGCATATGGAGATTTCAATCAACAACTTCAGAATGCGAAACAGGAGCAGGAGTATAGAAGCATGCCTGGTGAGCCAAAGAAAGTGACTGGTTATAAACGTATTGATCGTCGGTATGCAAACGTTGGAAATTTGTTACATGTTGACAGAACCATAGAAGATTCTTTAAAACACATAATTGAGGGACAAAGATGGGACTAAAAATTGAACTTAGTTCTAATTTGTTGATGTTTAAAAAAATTTGTCATTTCTGATTCAATGGCAGTCAATAATAATTACCTGTCCGGTCTGTTTTTTTCGCATAATGGACTGAAATGATTTTGTTTTTTAGTTGTTCGTTATTAGCCGCTTTTTTGACAGTCTAATTCCCCGTAATTAAAATTTCAGTCTAACTTTTTAATGTGAATTATCTCGAAAATTTTACACACTGAGAAGGCGATTTTTCAAGACCTCTCTCTCTTTGAGAAGCTGTGATTTAAAATGCTTTATATTGAACTCTGCCTTCATTTTTTATCTTTTAAAAGTGTGTTTTACATGATTTGGTGTTATGTTAGTGATAAACATATAAGCTACAACGCGAGTACAAAGGGTGTTCAATCCTCTAAACTACTGAGCACTACAGTGTTTGCTTTACTTTGACGGTTGAAGAAGTTGGCTTATTTTCCCAGTTTAAAATTAAATGATGGTGAAGTTTTTGAATGATTGGTTGCTTTTCACGTCTTTGTTTCAGCCACAAGGATTATAGAACCCTAATTGAAATGAGCTTTAGAAATTGAAGGAAGAATTGTTGGCCAAGCACCAATTGATTTTATGGCTGTTTAAGAACTTGCGGAGCTTTATTCATCAATGCTAAAGTTTTTGAGTGAATTAGCTATACTTATAGGTGAGAGCGATTAGGTACTTATGATGGAGAAGAAACTTTTGTCAGCAAATTGAAGGCAGACTAGTCAGCTGGTAAAAAATTACGGTAAGGCGAATTAAGCTGACAGTTGGGGCAATTTTTCGAAGTTGGTCACGTCGGTTTTGCAAAGTAATTTACTGGATCATTTCAGAATGTAACTTTCGATAGTCCTCTCATGTAAAGGTTTTTCGTCTGCTGTAGGAAATGGAGGCTTTGATTTTTTTTTAGTGATACAAGCAAAAGAGCAGTACCTTTAACGCTCACAAATTATGCATTTAGCTAAGAATGACTTGATTTGGATCAGGCATTGAATCATAGTTTAAAATAAAGTTTCAATAGTGTTCAAAGGTCTTTAAAATTCAAAAGGTATATTTTGAAGTAGCAGTTTACAGGTTTGCGGTTTAAATAGCGAATTTTCGGTATTTTCTGTGCGTCGTCGATTTTAGATGAGTTTCCTACAAAGAATGTATTGAATATTTGAGTTAACCTTTCTGTCATTATCACAGAATATGTGGTTTGCATAAGTTTTTTCTGACTGCGACGTTTTTGAAATTTTTTTCGTTCTAACAGCGATAATCGAAACAGATAAGTTCGTGTTTACATAACACCCACATTTCACTTGGACATCAGGGAATTTTCTATTTGAAGGAAGGCAAATTAACTTTTACTTCTTTTAAATGAAAGGAGGTGGTATGAGATCCAATACGAAATATTACAGTAAACATTTGAATTTTTTAACGAAATAAAATGTTTGCAATGGAAAGCCTTTGTTCAAGTTCTTTGAACGATTGAATGTTAAAGAAGAATTACCAGCGAACTTCTGATTCATAAGACCAGTCTCTCAGGATTGCCCCAGTTGATTTCCTTGTTAAGAGGAATTTTTCATTTACTATTCTGATGGTAGGGTAATTGAGCAGGGAGCGAAGTGCACAAATTCAGAAGCTCTCTCTTGGACCTGACAAATGTTTCCCGTAATCACTTAATGCTTGACTGAATTGCTTCAAGTCTGGTCGCATCCCAAAAGCTTTCAGTAATCTGGCTTTGTACTTCTCCTGATATTTATTCTGACCAATCCTATTCTTTAGTTCAACTGGTTGGCGTGAGTTCTTTTTGCTGAAAAAAAAAAAGAGGATTATTTTGAGTCAGGAGAAGAATGAAAGTATTTGTGTTCAGTTTTACAAAAAGTTTTCGTATTCAGCTGAACGAAAAAATTGTTAGACAAACGTGATAAGTATTTAGTACTTATTTGTAAAAGTGGAATTACACTGGTGGTCACAATTTACGTACATATTGAAACTTGACGAGTAATCCCAGTAATCTAAAAATTTTTGTTCATAATTAATTCCTTTGACTGGTAGTTCATCAACATCGTCAGCACAGTAATATGACCATGAGGTTTGATCGTAATCTAATTCTGCAGTACATTTTTTGTAGATGTCATTTGGGCAATATTTGTAGCAAATTTCGTATCCTATCAAAGCTTCATGTGCGCTAGCTGAAGAACGGAATAATATAACAAATGTGGTTTCAGTGTTCGGTAACGCCGTTTTCAGTTCACAAATTTTTTCTAATATTATTAATGTACAAATAGAATAGCTTATGGACAGTGAATTATAATCAGTCTCAAGTCAACAGATTAATTTTGTATACTGAGCAGTCTCGACATTGGCACTACATTATTTATTATCAATTTTTAATTTTGTTATAACTGATCAGTAATTTATTTATTAAAAATTTTTAATGCTCTTTTGATTGGCAATATTACTGCCAGACAGAAGTTTTCATACCTCTTAAACGTTTTGCAGATTTTGAAGATTAGAGAAGTGTATTTGTGAAAAAAATATAAAATTTTATCTGAAATTTTTAATACTTGATCACTT